TCAGTTGATAAACTGAATTCAATCAATTTTTCACTTTAGCATAAAGCTTGAACAGATAACAGCTATCATGTGCTAGAAGGCATGTATTTTTTTTTTTTTGGTCATTTCAGAGCCTGTGCTGGATGGTCATCGTCTTGAGAGTTTTGATAGATCTATTAGCAATACATAGCTTTGCTTTGTCTTACTGTCATCTTCTGAGCCATATTAACCCTCTATCCAGCCATCCTGCAAAACAGATGGCTTTCCCAAGTAGTGCCTGATGAATTTATACCTTCCAAATGATACTTAATGGCTATTCCTCATTAGCCCCAGTCTCGAGAATTTGTTTCGGGTTGTAGTCTTGAGAAAGAGAAGGATAAAGGTGAGGGTCTACTTTGAGTGTCACCAGGATAACTTCTGTTTCAAAATGCTTCCACCTGATGATAATGGACAATGTAGTATCTCCACTACAAAATGGCAAAGAGTGCAAAACTGCTGTAGCAAGTGGTGACCCAAGCTGGTAAACTAGTAAATCCACATTTACCTACCCTACCATATAGTACTGTGAACACATAGTGAGCTTCTAGTGAAATTCATTCCAGCTGCATTATTAGCCCTGCCCAAACTTGTATCCAGATCCAAGCTGATAAATCCAAAAGGTGTTGTGGTATGCCAGCCATTCAGACTCACGTTCTCAGGTTTCTGCTTGGGTATCTGCATTTTATCGCATCATGTTCTATCATTCTTGTCAGACATAGCTAAAACAATACTAAATTAGCCATATTCATTCATCCTTGTTTGTAGTCTACCAAGTCCTGTCCCAGCAGTTTTCCCATTCTTGAGGAAAAATGGAAGGAAAGGGGGGCAGAGTCTAATCTATCTGGAATAAACATCTGGGAACACAGATGACAACACCTTGAGGCTTTGCCTCTAAAGCTCTAAATCAGCATTTTCCTCATCTGTCGCTAAGTTACGAAGCATTAGAAAAAAAACTGAAACATTTTTCCTGCCTGGATGCACTGTTCTGCTTTTATAGGAGCAGTCAGGGAACTGCTACTGCATGAAACTCTCTGTTTTACTTTGCTTCTTGCTAACTGAGCATTATCTATGACAGAAAAGTATCTGCTTCTTAAAGGTGTTCTGCCTTAAGGAAAGGTGTGAATTGGCATAAAGAAGTGATATAGGGTTTTGTCATCTGTCCTGCTGGTACCTGTGTAACTCTGTCTCAACAGCTTCCTCCTGTCATTGAGGAAATGACATGAAAAGCTGGGAAGAAAACCAGGAACTGAAGAAAAAACCTACAGTTTGTATTACAGACTATTCTGTTTTATGACAAAAAAAACCCCAACTATTTTAAGAAAAAAAAGTATCAATTAATTTCTAGGATGTTAGAACCACAAATAATAAGAAGCAAAGATTTATAACGAACAGATCATGTTTGAGAAATCTGACATTTTTAAAAATAGATTGCAAAATTAGTAGATGAAGGAGAAGTCATCTTTGGCTCTTCATATGTTAATTTAACACAGTATCCTATACAATCAGAAAATCTATTCATAACTTCAATGTGTAAAATAATGTTTACCCAAGACAGCTTTAAAAAAAATAACATCTACATTCCAGGTTACAAAAATACAGCTGACAGAGTATAAAAGATAATTCATTACTGAAACTGCTATGTAGATTATTTTTTTTTACTCTAGCTCAAATATCACTTAGTATCTTCAGTAATGATTTCTTTATGAAATTCACAGATGGTAGTAATTTGAGTAGAGTTGTAAACACTGGCAATGATAGAGAAGTATCTCAAAAAACCTGAAGAGACGAGAACTATGGGAACAGATTCATGAGAGTAATATTCTGGCTTTAGGTTAACATAACTACAACTTCACTGGCATCCCACAGACCTAAAAACACATCTTAACAGTGAAACAAACCAAGGGAATGGAAAAGAATAATGGAAATGCTAACAGTAAATAATAAAATAAACTCAAAAATTAAACATAAGGTAGACTAGGCACAAGCTAGATGTGTTTTTAACTGACAGTAAAAATTTGAAAGAGCACTGCACACATATCAAGCAAATAAACAAGAAGTTTCTTCAGGGTGAAACTTAAAACTGTATGGGAACATTACAGAGCTGAACATTTGTTCATTACATTTACAGTATAACAAAAGCCACTGAATTTTACCACTTTTCTTTCTCTAAACCTATAAATAAGAAATGACTTCTTAACTCTCTGTTGAATTATGTCTTCAGCAGTAGATGACATTGTCAGGACAATTATAGGATCAAAATGGAGTTCAGAGGAGAGCAACAAATAGAAGTAAATGAGAGAGAGAGAACAGAAGAACTGTAACAGTAGGAAACAAACCCTCAAGTGCTACAAGAAAATATCTGAACTGTAAGCTTACAATCGGAACTACTAATCTGTGAAATAATATCTCAGAATAGATACAAAAGATGTATTCCTTCTCATAGTTAAAACTAGGCTGCATGACATACTAGAAAGACTACTAATGGGAACAGTGTTGAATTACCAGAAATTATTGGCAATGATAAAACAAAACTACCCTGTGTATTTTTTTGTAACAGTAGGATTAATACATATATATATCTCCTGAGAAAATCAATTTATATTGTGAGAAACTTGTATTAGACATGTATGTAAGGATGATTAATTCAATGCGCTTTAGCTCAGACACTCACCTTAAACACTCCAGTACAAAAAAAATGGGGTGTGTGCACAGATCAGTGGGATTACAGAAAATCACAGAACCATAGAATGGTTTGGGTTGGAAAGGACCTTAAAGATCATCGAGTTCCAACCCCAATGCATGGGCAGGGACAACTTCCACTAGACCAGGTTGCTCAAAGCCCCATCCAGCCTGGCCTTGAACACCTCTAGGGAGGGGGCATCCACAGCTTCCCCGGGAAACCTGTGCCACTGCCTCACCACCCTGACAGAAAAAAAACACGTCTTCCCAATATCTAATCTAAATCTATCCTCTTTGAGCTTAAAAATGTTACCCCTCATCCTATCACTACACTCCCTGATAAAGAGTGCCTCCCCACCTGTCCTGTAGGCCCCCTTCAGGTACTAGAAGGCTGCATTAAGGTCCCCCTGGAGCCTTCTCTTCTCCAGGCTCAACTCTCTCAGCCTGTCATAATACAGGAGCTGCTCCAGCCCTCTGACCATCTTCACGGCCCTCCTCTGGACTCTCTCCAACAGGTCCAGGTCTTTTTATGTTGGGGGCCCCAGAGCTGAACACTGTACTCCAGGTGGGGTCTCACCAGAGCAGAGGGGAAGAATCTCCTCCTTCGACCTGCTGCTAATGCTTCTTTTGATGCAGCCCAAGATACAGTTGGCTTTCTGGGCTGCAAGTGCACACTGCCGGCTCATGTTCAGCTTCTCATCAACCAACACTCCCAAGCCCTTCTCCTCAGAGCTGCTCTCTATCCATTCTCCACCCAGCCTGTATCTGTGTTTGGGATTGCCTCGACCCACATGCAGGACCTTGTACTTGGCCTTGTTGAATTTAATGAGGTTGGCATGGGCCCACCTCTCAAGCCTGTCAAGGTCCCTCTAGATGGCATCCCTTCCCTCCAGTGTGTCCACCACACCACACAGCTTGGTGTCATCCGCAAACTTGCTGAGGGTGCACTCAATCCCACTGTCCATGGTGCCAACAAAAATGTTAAACACTGGTCCCAATGCTGAACTTTGTGGAATGCTACTCGTCACCTGTCTTCACTTGGAAACTGAGCTGCTGACTGCAACTCTTTGAGTGTGATTGTCCAGCCAATTCCTTATCTGTCAAGTGGTCCATCCGCCAAATCCATGCCTGTCCAATTTAGAGACAAGGATGTCGTGTTGGACAGTGTCAAATACTTTGCACAAGTCCAGGTGCCTTAACCTGCTACAGTAACTGAAGATTACGTTTTTCTTCCATCTGAACAGCACGAACATTAAACATCTGTCTCTGCCCCCTGACTCTACAAGGAGCTTCAACACCTCTTCTGACTAATTTAGTGATCCTCTGCATTGTGTGGGAAGCTACATTTCAACCAAGCTAAAGAAAATTTATCAGTCTGGATGGGTGTTCTTCAGGTCAGATTCAGAATAGAACACCTTATTCTGAGGTTAGATCCCTGAAAGAGGAGGAGAAGCTCATTCTGTTCTCAGGAGTCTCATGGTTAGACCACTTGACTGGTTTAAGTCCATCTCCCAAAATATAGTGAGTGTTCGAATTATTGAACAACCTTTGTTTCTATTAAATAGATGACATCGAACCTACCAACCAACTACCATTTGCTCCCACAAAGCCTGTCTTAACGTTATTTAAAAAAAAATCTTGTTATTAATCTGCTCTCAGTGAATTCACAGTTCTGTGTTTGTCTTCCACAATTTAAAACACCTACAAAGGCTTCATTATACATCATATGTACCAACGACTACAATGATATAAGCACATTTTTGAGCAGGAAAATTTCAGGTATCAACCTACTTCTGGACAAAAGTCACGACAAAGTATAGATGATCTATGCCATCTTCTCTCCAGTGGTACCAAAGAACACTGACAGATAAAAACCCACAAGACTGCATGAAAAAGCTGGAGAATTAAATGGATAAGGAACAGGGCTACAACCTTGTTCCCTTAATTACGATTCCCTCACATTATGCATGTATTTAAAAAAAAAATACTTCCCACAATTCATAGACAAATTCCACCCTTCTCTATTTCTCACCCTCAGATTAATGAAGTAATGAGATATGATCATCACTTCAAAACGCTTTGAATAGCTTAAAAATCAGAACTGTAAGGTCAGGAAAGGAACAGAAGAAGCTTTTGTCATTACATAGAAAAAGTGCTCTACAAAGTAAAAATCTTAAGTGACTTGCTATATTTGTCCATTGTAAAAATGTAAACGATGAGAAAAGGTCACTGTATCTCTACTATTTATCCTGAAAGGTGTCAATTTTTTGAAAACTCATTATTTTTTTTGAGAGATTACTTACTCTAAAAAGCTGGTGATGTAATCCCGACTGCAGGTTGACCAAGAGAAAGGGTTGGTGTTTGCTGTAATATGAGCTGCCATCAACTTTGCTGCTTCGTGACCTTTGGTCCCACAGGAATTTCCAATTCCATCATGATTCATACCAAAACTGCCCGAAAGAGGAGAGAAACAGACCATTACTTTTCTACAGCATCAGACATCTCTAAAAACTTCATGTCACCTTTACAGAAATAAAGCTGGACCTAAAAGAACACAGTACAGTAGAATTCTTAAGTGGAGAATCAGGATCAGTTAAATTCTGCTTATTTTATTCAGATCTCAGAATACTGCACAATTATGTAACTTTCTTTTCTCCCAGAGACTGTTGAAGGCATTTTACTTATTTTCTAAAGCTTTTAAAGAAACTTTAACAATATTTTTGCAATACAAATACAGAGCACTGGGTCCTTATTTGGTATTGTACCTGGGTAAGGAATATGCATTGTGGCAATAACACTTGGCTTAGTAAACAAGGACAAACAGAGAATAGGTGATGTTGCTGTAACAGTACAGTATAAGCACACAGCAGCCAGTGATAATTAAAGCAGAAAGAGGGTTTTGCAATTCCCAGGGCCATGCTGTATGCACACTCCCTCTCTGTATCACTCACAGAGTGACTTGGAGACCTTCTGTTAGAGTTCTGCTTTGTCATAGAACATCAAAATTAAGATGACTAAAAATCATCAGAAAATACCACAAAAAACAACTGTGTGGCACTTGGCCAACAGATGTGTCCAGGCAGCAAATTAATTAACTTCTAACAAAGCTGATATGACTCTGCAAAAAGAAACACGGCAAAAGAATCCTCACGTCTTAGAAATACTGCGCCACTGAAGTACATCACTGGAGCTATAGATCATCAACATAACCATCAAATTAAAACTAGAAGTCAATTCACAGAGTATCCATTTGAAAAGACTTTCATTACAGACTATCTTTAGGTAATTATTACTGTTACTCCTAAACAATCAACAACGTTTACCTGACTCTCCTGACATAAATGAAGCACCTGAACACAATATTTCTTAATAGTATACACTTCTTAAAAATGCCCTTTTCTTAGTTTGCCTTTGATTAATTTCCATTCAATCACTTGGGAGAAAATTATTTCTTCAAATATTAATCTTTCGTCAAATTTGTTCCTTCTTCCCAAATCTGGCACAAAGCTCATGAAATCAGAAGGACAGATAGTGGGACATGCAGGAGCCTCCCTGACCATGAGACAGAGTAGTTAAAGGGAGTGCCAAAAGTGAACTTCTGCACAACGTGGAGCAGCAAAACTGTCACTTCTTGTAGTATCATACAAAGAGGTCAGTCTTTGGAGCCTTCTGTATTACAAATGCTAAAAAGCCTGACTCTGATTCCTTACTCATCATTCAGGAAAACGGCTCTGTTGAGGCACTCCATTTTAATTTTCTAGAAACTTCTAGGACTGGCTGCCAGAAGATACAAATGGTGGTAGATTAAAGGCTGGCCATTTATCTACTGACAATACCACTTCATACCACCTTCTTCACTAAAAACAGTGATAGCAGTGTTAACGTTAACTTGAACATATTGCTCCAGAATGTGGTATAAAAATCGAAGACCTTCATGAAAAATCGAAGACCTTCATGTTAGTCTAAGTTTCAATACACTGGGTACTGTTTCACCTCTTCAGCTGATCGTAACAACCTACAAACAAAGGTATAGCGAACCATTCCTCCCACACCCCATTAATTGCATGGTTACAAGACAAGGAACATCAGGGAATGATGGATGTTTCCTACAGCCTGGGGAAGGACTTTATAATCAAAAAAAGCATCACTTCCTTGCCTAGGCGATGTCTCTTTACAGTGTCTAGTCTGTAGCAATGCCTGCATGCATGTAGTTCTGTGTATCACAGCTCATAAATGCAGAAAGCCATATGCTACACTATTCATGGGAAAGGTCCAATTTACACCTCAGATTATTATAACATCAAAAGAAGAATACCCCTCCCACATAAGAAACGCAGCTTTAAGAACACCTCCTCTGTGCAATGTATGTATTAGAATGAAAGTTTCAGACCAGCGCTAATTATTACAATCAATCTTCAATTTTGGTATATTTTGGGAGGGAAGAACTTAGATGTCCAATGCAACAAACTGAACCAGAATTTTACAATGAAAAACGTACTTTATTAACCTAGTTCACAACTGCCCTAATTTCTTAGAATTAGGGGTACTTCAAATGGAAACATTTCCTTTTGAATTGCCTCTGTACAATTTCTTAAAACAGAAAACTCTGGATGCCCTTTATAGAAATGGGCATCTGGTTATGTGGGAAAGAGATTAATTGGATCATGATAACTATATCTGATATCCAGCTTATCCACAGTTAGTGTATATGTTTTGTCAAAGAAATTACAGACTTAAGTATGTGGGAAATGAAATTTGTATCTTTTGGGCCTATAAAAAAATAACAAACTTCACAGTTTAATAGCTTGCTTTCTTCTACGAGCTCTCCTTGTGAATAAGATGATGTTGCTGATGGTGGCAGTGGTATGCCTGATAAAAAAGCATGTCTGTGTACGGACAGTGCAATTCCTGATGCAAACAGGAATGGAATGCCTTTTCATGAGTTGATGGTATTCTTATTTTTTATAGATATTCATTCAGATAAATCATCTACTCCCTTCCAAGAAGGCTCTTCTACATGCACTTCTACTGCCCCTACTTCTAAATTTAGGAGGAAACTAATCATTAGGTGCAGGTAATTTTTTCTGATGCTTGGAAAGGGGTTTTGCAATTACTGTCAGCTATTTCCAAAGATGGTAGTGGCAGCATGCCATTACAGCCCAGTAATTTGCACTCCTATGGCCCGGACTGCAGATGAAAACACATTTCTGTCCAAAGTACCAGTTTTATTTCCATCAGAACATGTTGGTTATATTAGGCCATCATTACATTGAACTATGTCTTTTACAAAAGCATGTTTGTAATTAGATTGGGGTGGGAAGGCAGTGAAGAAAGGAAGGAACATAAAATACTCTTCATGGAACCACTGTTATAATTTACTTACCTTTTTCAAGCTCACTAAGCAGATGCAGACTGCTATTTCTTTCAGTGGCTTAAAGACTCTGTCTAAACCTACCAGTATAATTCTGTCTTTAAAAGAACAGCCAGGTGAGTGAGGAGAGTGTGAAAAGTCTTCTCAGGTGACACATAAGTTTTTATATTAAGTTACCTTTCATCTACCATCTCAAGGAAAGATGTTTAACCCAGCAACCTTTTTTTTTTTTTCCAAGCATTATGGCTCTGCTTAATTATGGTGCAAAAGAGCACCTACACCACATTTAAGAACTGTGCAAAGCAGCAACAGTATGAACTTTAAAATCATAACTGAAACCCTTTTGCAATTTCTCTATAGTTTGTAAAATTCTTTAAAAAATACTAACAAGGCAGCACATTTGACTAGTGCTCTTGCCTTTCATTTACTAACATCTGTAATGGAACAGATTCTTTTTTCGTTGGCAATCTATTTTTCCTTGTATCTGAAAAAATTATCTGAGGAAATTATTTGTAATACACATCCAACTTAAGATCTGACCTCAAAAATCACAGGGGAGGTAACTAGTCTCAGCTGCACTGAATAAAACAGAAATAGATAATCAGAGACCCTGGAGCATAAGCAGAGAAAAGGATGGGAACATAAACTTCTTGTCTACCCTTTGTTTATCTTGAGAAGGAACAACACTGCAGGTCCCTGCAGTTTCATTTGTATTTCAGATGAGGTTACTAATTTGTTGAGACCTTCTAAATCGTGACAGTTACAGTTCCAAAACACTGATGTATCTGAAATGACAGCAGTTATTTTTGTGAGACAGCCAGGATGCTTCTGTCCTGATTTATTATCCAAATACTTAAGATCCAAAGAAGACAGATCCAAACCAATCTGAATGCTCCTCAGTAGTGCGAACTTATCTGAAACGTGCTACTCAAGTGAACTGCTTTTTCTCATTAACAATCAATTACCTCTTCTTTCTAAATGTAGTGCTAATGATCTGCATATCAAATCATTTCCTATCTTACTTAGGGTTGGGAGCATTCAGAACTGCAGAGAACGCTAATGGTTCCTTTCTCTAAATACGACAGGATAGGTCAAAGTGGAAAGTATTGGCTCAATTCAGGAAGGGAACACCTGAGCTCAGATTTCCTTCGGAAATTCATGATGCCCTGAAGGTTATGACAACCTTCCTCTTCACCTGGATTTATTCTGCTTACACTTTTGTTAAGACCTGTGAAGTGTTACTACATTCAAATTATTTTAGTATTTTCAATTCTAAACTTAATATTTCACAGTTATTTAGACACAAGCCTTTTTCATATTGTAAATACAAACGTCACAGAAACCAGAACTGTTTTTCTAGACTTACGTTTATGACATTTCATTTTATATGCACAAAATATTAAAATTGACGTCCCAATGAAGACTTTTTAATAGAAGTTGCGTGCTTTTATACCTGCAGTATTACAAAGGCAGACATAAAACACGTTCCTTGAACAAAAAAGACCAGGAGCAGGGGGCAGGGTGGAGTGGAGCAAAAGAGCAAGAATATGATTATGTATGGTCTTTATGTAGCTTGTCCAGGCAAAAACTGGACACATTTTTTTTGTTTGTTTTTTTAACTAAAAAAGTTACTTCAACTGTCCCTAAAAATTTAAGGCATCACATTCAGTCAATCCTAGGCATCTAGCATGGACAAATTTTAACTTGTTCTGACTGGTGTTGATGTGTTCAGACATGGTAGATTTGAGATGGTCTGTCAGCTCTGCTATAGTTGAAGATGGAAGACATCATCATCATAGCTAAAACAATGACAGACAGCACCAACTGGAGAGCTGTTCCTGCGAGAGCCAACAGGAAGTGGTGTACAATTCTTCCTAGCTGGTTTCACCTTCTTTTGAAAGCCATTTTGAAGTTTGGTGTATGTGTCTCTATTACTTCAGACCGGAGTATTTTCCTTTTAGTTGCACAAGACACACATTCTTTAACACACATTTCTTCTAGAAAACATCTCACCCAAGCTCAGGTCCTACAATGCAGCTGAGGTTTGACTGATCAAACGTGATGCTCAATGATGGTTGAAGATTAGAGATTTCTACTCCAGCAGTAATAACAACTTTCTGATGTGGGAGGAGGGGTATTTATGCAATTTTTCTACTTCACATACAGACTAAAATAAGACTTTTTTTAAAAGTGCTAGAATTGCAGGCACATTTTAGCTGTAACAACTAATTCGGAACTAAATACATGTTTGAAAGCATTGTTTTTCTTCTTCATCTTGAAGCCAATTTACTCTGTTAGACTGTATCTTATCATTTCTTACACCTCTTTTTCCACCAAGATATGACTGCCAAACTCCCCTGAATTTCAGTTCATTCCGTCTTCTATAAGTAAAGACAATTTCGACTTTTCAGAAATTACTTTAGGCACCAGGTTTTTCTTCCTGCTCCTTCTGTACAGCCTTCAATAGCTGTCTGTCATTAGTAAATTATTTTCTTACTTGAAGTTTTATGGGCAGCTCTCTGTTCTAAGCCTAGTCCACTATCCTCATGTCTTGACATATTTTTTTTTCACCCTTTTGTTTGTTCTTTTTCACTTTGTTATTTAGTTCCAGATCTCAGCTAACTCCATAGGACTGCAACAATAATGGCACAATGCCTTTGTTTTAGGGATACACCCCTTTAAATGTAACCTGGAATTCCTTATTAGTTCAAATAAGCATCCTGTACAGCATGCATGGGGCAAGCTAGGCATTTTAGAAAGTATCCAAATCAAAAAGCATAGAGCAGAAAGCTACCTAACCCAGCTGGTATGGAAACAGAAAACAGGACTAGATCTTAAATCCTACAACTTGTCTGAGCGTACAAGCATAGTGAAGCCTGCAAATAGTTCCTTTCTTCATTAAGAAGAAAAAGTGAAACTTCACTTGACAATGCAGGGGGTACACATTCAATTTTTACTCCTGCCATGATAAAATCACTCCTGATTTTTGCTTACCAGAAATCCTAAGTACTTCTTTGGAGTTAAATATATAAACAGAAAAGTAAGCATCCCAGAAGTCAAGCATCATAAATCAAATTTCTAGAGACACTATTCTGAAGGCCCACTCTGAATTTTACCGATTCAGAAAAATATTAAGAGTAATACATGGCTGTTCTCAGAGCCATGCACAGGGAGAAACAACCATAAAACTGTTAGTCTAACATCATTCTTTAGGCCCGCAAGAAATAAACACAGAGGTAATCACAGTGTACAGCTGTCTTCAATAAAAACAGATGGTTATGAGTCTCAATAGCACATCGCCTATCTGCACCAACATTGGGTTATACACATACAAAACCTCCAAGCGGTATGGAACAGAAACCAAAAAATATTTTTAAAAATTCTTACATTTCACAGAAAGTATGACTGACAATAATAATCACACTCACACTCTCAGTCTTTCAGTCTTCAAGACTAAGTGCTCTTCTGGATAATATCCGTCAACCAAATGGAAGTTACTTGGATCAACACAAGGTTAGATTAGTTAAATTCAATACACTATGATATACAGAAAGTCAGACTGAATGATCTATGACTTCTCATCACTTTATTATAATGTAATAAACTACTAGAAACTAACAAGTTGAGTCGTACTTCCATCAGGGTATCTTACAAACCCAGTTTTGGAGAAACTGTGAATTATCTGCCAAAATATACGTATTTACTACTCTCTTTTAATCACAAGACAGTTTTATTCTTCAGTTCAACCTTTTAAAAAAAAAAAATAAAAATCAGTATTCCATGGCAACTATATAATTAATAAAAACACGACCTTTCAAAGTACAGTCCTCCCTGTGCTTTTTTGTTGTATGTTATATACTCAGTGTAGATATGTCCCTTAAATGCTTTTATTTTTCATTTGACAATGAAGTCAATTTCCTATTTCCCACGTATGCCTGAAGAGAAAAGCAACCATCATGGTACAGCCAAATTAAAAAAAAAATTTACAAGGCTCGTCAAAACAATTTTAGTCAAATATGCAGGTACCTTCTAGTAGGTACAAGGAAGCAGGAAGCTGGGAGGAAATAACACCCTCCTTGATCTAGTTGTAGAGGCATTCAGTCACACTGTGGGTGAATAGGAGGTAATGTGTCGACAGCACAAAACATTCTAAAACTTGAAGATTTTTTGCCCACATATTATTCCCAGCTTTCACTGAAGGTTCATTTTTAATATCAAGCTGGCAGTGCAACTTTCTTTAATCACTGTGCATTGGATAAAAGCTAAAGGAATATGATTTCTACTTCCTTTTCAAACCAGCGTTTGACATGTCATGCCAGCTACAGGATGACACGAAAGCTTCAAAGAGATGTGACTTCAGAATTTTAAAAGACCTTACATATAAGAAGACAAAAGATATGGAAAGTAGAAAACACAAATGGTTAAAAAAAATTCTTGTGATCACAATCTATGTGATTGCTATAATGTTTTTCTTGGATTCTAACCTAAGTCTAAGCTCTTCAAATCAATTCTTTTCATCATGTCACGCTTGCATGATAAAATAGCTGCATATATTTAAATTGTTTTCATGTATCCGCAGAATAACCTGCATAAAATATGTAGTTGCACGACATACAGTAGTAATTGTTTTTCTTGTTATGTATGTGAAAAACTCACAGAAAGGTGCCCCATTACTATGAGATGTTTTTAACAAGAATTTCAGAACTATGAGTGATTTGGAGGAGCTCTTTCCTCAACAGTGGAAATATATTTTCCTATACCCTATCTTTTAATTCATGCGAACAAAGAAAAAGGAAGGAAATGAAGTTGAAGAGAACTACATGTGTTTTAATTTTTTTTTTTTTGTTCAGGTCTTATGGATTATCTTTGGATTCTAAAATTCATCTATTTCAGTGCAACTACAGTGTTTTTTTCATACATAATATAAATGAGATCATACTCGCCCAGTGATAGCAATGATCGCATGATAGGTGGGCTGGAAATAACTGTTTACTTCCAACTCCTTTTTTTGATCAGCAGACTGATAGCTTCCATTTCAGTCTGCATTGGAACTTTTAGCAGTTGCACCAGCCAATGATTGGAAAAACAGGTCATCCATAACTCAGTGTTGGTCATGTAAACACAGAAGGAAACCTCTTGATAATAGAAGGTTCCTAGTCTTTTTAAAGTCCTTACAATGGACTGACAATGCTGTCATTAGAAGGAAGACCTGAAATATTTCCAGACCAAATTCTACCCAGATTTTATCAGTCTCATAACATCACGCTCTTTAAAATTATATGCTGATGCTTAAAATGTAACAAGTGATGCTATGACTGCTCTATGACTGTTTTATATACTTCATGCTTGAGTGAAAGACGATTAGAAGTGTATTAAAATTGACAAGAGAATCAATGTTTTAATGAAAATAGTCTGAATTACATTTAAGACAAAATACTAAAATTAAAAAAATTACCTTTAAACCAGTCTTGTTTCATAAACAAAAGCAGACAAAATAAGAGGGGGGGAAAAAAGACAATTTTCAAAGCCAAACACTTAAAAATATGAAACAGAGTAGAAAGGCTGTGAGCCAAATCTCAAAAGCACAGATTTAAAGGGAATCTGAAATAAAAGGGTAAACAATGAGTCTTCAGTTCTAAATTTAAAGCCCTTGGTAATATATACTAAATAAAATGTACTGACACTCATTAATACTATATACAGAAACACGGAGCGCCAGAATAGAGATGGTACAGCCATGCCAGGAAAAAAAAAAAATTATAAACCAATATTAAAAAGGTGATACATTAAAAAGTATTATATTTTTTAAACTCACTCACTTGTGACCAATCTCATGTGCAATGGTAAAAGCTGAACCTAGGCCAATGTCTTCATTAATGCTGCAGCTCCTTTCAGGCTCACACATTCCAGCCACAGAGGCCAAGCCTGAATAAACAGAAGGAGACACAAAGGGTCATGCCAAGGTGTTTCAGTCTTAAAAGCCCTAGTTATAAATGCCTGGATTCTTTTTAATAACCTCTATGCACAGAAGGAGCAGTTGGCAAAAGGTTAACTTTCTAGTCATTTGCAAAATCACTGGGGGGAATTTCACTTTGCCGGCTAGACATTAATATTTTTTGAACTGCAGTCAGTGCTGGAAAATGTCTAGACTAGGGGTTAGATTTATAAATTTTACTTCTGGTAACTTGGGACCACCTAGTAACTTGAGCCAGGAGAGGGAATTCAAGAAAGCATTTCTATTTTAACATTCTTGAGACTGAAGAAAGCAAAATGTATCCACATTATTTTTCTAAAGAAATCTGTTTAAGTTTAGTGGGTTCATACAAACATACAAGCAACTTTTTTAGCTATGAAAAGCCCCACATGGTATGTTAAAAAAATTTAAAAAACCAAAACTCAATGCATCAATGAAGAGAGAGGAGACATGTTAATAACAAGCATTCATTTAACCATGGAAGTCTTTTCCATTTATCACCCATCATCTTATGGAATTAAAACCTTATTGTATTACAAGCACTTTTAAAAATCTTTCTTTGCAGCGAGAAAGCCACTGGCATTTACAGAATATGGCTCTTCAGTATCTTATGCATTCTTCAGCAACAGACTATCACACAACGTACTGCAGTCATAATTTAGTACCACTAGAGAAAGCTCTAAACATCAGATTTATTTAATTTATTCCTCCCTAGAGCTTCTTATCTGAAAGAAGCAGTAATCCTTTCTTTGAGGAAATTACTTGCTCAGTTAACTACAGTATAACAAAAAAAATAACTGGAAAAAGTGGTTGGCAGATGGGAGGAATGGGACAGGGAGAGGGGAAGAGAGAAATCATACTCTTTATATGAGCAGGCACTTCAAATTATTCTGTCTGGACAAGCACGCAGTAAGATGGCAAGTGCTTCCTGGCTATGTCCACATTAGCAAGCAATTTGGAGCTCTAGGAGTGGGTCAGCAGAGTGAAACACTGATATTGAGGCTCCTCACATATTTTTGTATGGGGGTAGGACACTCTACTTCAAACTAGTTTAATCCTGTAGGCTGAACACACTCACTACACATATGGTTCAAAGCTTTTTAAAGGGAAAAAATATTACAGAATATCATAAGAATACAGCTCATGTAGTGATTTAGACGATAACATCTCCCATAGGCACATACGGAACATTTGGGAAGTATGTGTTCTGACTTAGCTTTCTCCGAAACAAATCTAGTTTCCACACTCCAAAACTACTATGATAACCAAACTGACATGGTAAAAAGGTGACAATGTGTATCCATAGCATTTGCATCAAAACAGTACTACTGCTAAAAACAAGTCACAGGTGTAGACACACCCACTGAGGACAGGATAAAACATCAGAAGAAAAAAGACCATCCATGGAGAAAAATCTGTAATTTTTTTTTTTTTTTGCAGTGTGCAACCTGCAGAAAATACAGCAGTAACAGTTCATCTATGCTATTCTAATTGATTAGGACATTCTGAAATCAACATGGCAATATTTGTATATCAACTGTCATGCTCCTCTGCAAAGTCCACAACATTTGAGCAGTAATCTCTATCTTCAGATCTAATAACTTGCAGAAAATGACAGAGATAAGTCAAGAACTCAGTTGATGACTCAGATTTTAGAAAGGAGTTGTTCTTCACTAGAGTCACAGACATGCTGCAAAGACATCTGAGGTCTATTTTTTCTAAAAAGTTCCATGAAAGATTCCCTGTTTTGGGAAACAGGAGAGGGATGTTTATGCCACACAAAATCCTTTACTTCTGTTTCTTCCTAGAATACCAATGACTCAGGTTTCTTTTGACCTTTTGAGACCTCTCCGAGACTTTTGTTCACCGACTCCTTAAATATATGCTTAACTTTAGTTACTGGAGGTCAGTGGGACTTAAGCATATTAAATGCATTGCAAAAGAGGGCCACAGGGTCTTGTTTCTTCTCCAGTTCAATGCCCACAAGGCAAATAAATGGGCATGGTTGTGTTGCAAAGGGTCCTATAACACTGAGTTAGCACTGATAACATATGTTATTATTTACGTTTAAAAAATTCAAGCCTTTTGTTTCATAAAATATTTGCCAAAGTCTATCCTCTGTTATGCTGGATTCAAATGAAGCAGAATTTGCCTTTATGCCAAAGTCTGATACAGTAAGAACTAGTACACTAATGGTCTGTGTCAAAAATATCACGTAAAAATATCAAATAGTTCACGCAAGAATGTATGCACTTTCAAACTTTCTTCTTTTAACACTTGCAAAGACAATCCTATGACATCAATATGTCTCTTCAGCTGTACTCCTTGTGTACAACAGAGCAACAGTGAAAAGCCTCAAAGCCTGTTTCTTTTTTAAGTTTTTTTTGTTGTTTGGTTTGGTTTTTAACTTCCCTGATGTCTTTTACTTGCATTTTTTAACTAGATAATGGAAAAAGGTTAAATGGAAATAAACAGCAAGTTCTCCTCTGTAAGAAGTAAGTTTGAGTTTCTGATAGGTTTTATCAGAATTACAGCCGCCAGAAATACACTGTGGCAGCTCACTTAATTTCAACTTCCAGCAATGTACCAAAGCCGAAACCTACCTAGGTTACCTTTTATTGCTAATGTTTATAAAACTGCAAAATGTCGAAAGCATAAACTTAAAAAGATCTAATCAGTCAATAAATTAATAGCTGAGTATAAAGCAAGGAAACAGCAAATACAGTTTCTCTTTATAATCTTACCCAGTGTTCCACAAGGCTTGTTTTTATAAGTGCAGATATCATATCTGTTAAGGACAAAAGAAGTAGATAAAATGTCAGAGAATCAGATTTGTAAAGATATTTTGTATATTTAGCACATATCTGTATCATAGCTCAAGTTGTCAGACCACAATCAGCTTAATTATGTGCAGCCAGCTGGTATCGGCATTTTCTACACTCTGGTGTAAACCGCAAGCTGCAGTACACTCACAGCCGCTGGCCTCAGGCCAGCGGGACACCTGCCAGTAAGAAAAAAATGGTTAAAGTGTATCTTTGTAATCACTGGCCATAAAGCAGTCTACCATGCTGTTACGAAGTTACAGAAGCATGTCTCTAGACACTACTGATTCAAAACACTTAACTTGTAGTTTTGAACATAACTGGAATCCTCTTAGAGTTTCACACTTATCAACTAAACAATACTCATCCTAACTTCTACTATTTAAACTTTGATTCTAATTAAAAACTGTAACTATCAATTATGACACCAACAACTATATATTAAAAAAAAAAAAAATCTTATGAACTGCTATTACAGTTCCCTTCTCATCATCTTCCCATGATTAAACTGATCTTAGGAGTATACTATCACAAATGCAAATGAAAAATATTTCTGCAGAAAGCTAGATAAATGTCTTTAAAGGAAAATTTTCATCATTTTAGATATAATCCTTCAAATACAGAAGCTCAATGAACTTTTGTGTAGTTAACATGTAAGTATCCCGAGCTGAAAATATAATTACAATGTTCTCTGTGACATCACTAATAACAGCAGTTTTCATGCAGCTGACAGTTAATTAATTACACATTCTTATTATGAATACACAATCCTATCGTACAACTAGTGATAGGAGAACACTCCTACAATACCTTTGATCAAGGATTTATACTGATATCCTTGGAGTATGTTTCAGAATAATTTTTTTTCTTTCGAATGTTGAGTGAAAACAACGATGAAAAGATACCACGTTTATACTTTAATTTTTAACACAAATAGTCACCAATTTCAGGCCACCAGAAATTTCTGTTAAAAATAACATCAGGACGGAGGAGTCTGATCACAAGATATATACCTTTAAGTGCTAAAAGAGTTAAGGTCTGTCTGTAAGCCAAATCCATGGACAAAATAACAAAGCTTAAAATTTGGAACAATTCCAGTAAACTCTCTATGCATGTAGACGACTGTGACCACATGGAGTTCCTGTGATTTTTAAAGGTACTGAGTGTGGAGCAGTTTCAGGGATTAAGCCCTAATTTTGAACTCAAATGTTCATGTGCACTGATCTCATCAAGGTGGTTCAATCTCTGGCATCCTATAAACACATAAAGCTCTGACTTCCCATTTGCTGTTTGGAGAGGGGGAGGTAATCAAATGAGCATTCTTATATAACACGTGTTGGAATATAATTCAGTTTTTTATGTCACAAAGCTTTAAAATGACACAGATACAGAAAGAAATAAAGATTTTTACTGACTATTTCCTTGTACATATTTAAGGAAGAAAACTTATATCTGCAATGAGGACAGAGCCTGAACCCAGTCCTATTGAAGTTCATGCAAAATTATTCCTCAAAGAAACCAGACGGCGCAAGCTTATTTAAGTGAGAAAACCCAGACTTGCTCAAATTCTTTAAAATGTAGTTTAGAACTGAACACAAGGGAGTCCTGTTTACCTGGAATACTGCGTGGGGCCCCCAACATAAAAAGGATACGGGCCTGCTGGAGTGAGTCCAGAGGAGGGTCACGAAGATGGTCAGGGGGCTGGAGCACCTCCCCTATGAGGACAGGCTGAGAGAGTTGGGGTTGTCCAGCCTGGAGAAGAGAAGGCTCCTGGGAGACTAAACAGCAGCCTACCAGTACCTGAAGGGGGCTACAGAAGGGATGTGGAAACACTTTCTATCAGGGAGTGTAGCGACAGGATGAGGAGTAATGGTTTTAAACTGAAAGACGCTAGATTTAGACTAGACATTAGGAAGAAATTTTTCACTGTGAGGGTGGTGAGACACTGGAACAGGTTGCACAGGGAAGTTGTGGATGCCCCATCCCTGGAGGGAGGTGTTCAAGGCCAGGCTGGATGAGGCTTTGAGCAGCCTGGTCTAGTGGAGGGTATCCCTGCCCATGGTAGGGGGGTTGGAAGTTGGTGATCTTTAAGGTCCTTTCCAACCCCAACCATTTTATGATTCTATGATTCTAAAAGTCTGTGCAACACACAGGAAGTATTAGTCTTCTAATACTTTTTAATATCCCATGCTAACAGGAGAAAAATTAAAGGCAAACACTCTTAGATAAAATGGATGTTTAATAAGAAAGCCAGTTCCACTAAGCCCAAGTAAAACGTCACTGATTTTATTTGAGCTGCAAATTTGCCCTTATGGCTTAAATCTGCTTATTCTCATACAGGTATGAATCTGAAGTTACTAGTCACCTTCAGTTCAGTTTCACACCAAACTGTGATAGAAGAGGGTGGTACAAATTAAATCCCTTCTTCCTGTTATAGTTTTGAAAAACAAAGACCATGGTAAGCTTCTGTGTATGCTGGGTAGTGAGCATTCTTCCAATTCAACCAAACAAAAAAACCCACAAAAAAACCCCAACACCACAAAGGTAAAAATGGGTCATAGCTGTCACTAGGACCTTAGTAAATACTTCAGCCATCAAAGACAACCAAAAGGTAAATTCTCAAGCCAAAAATTATCTCAACCAACCATTAAAAATGATAACAGTCATGAGAGTTATGCAAAAATGCAGTCTGCAAGATGTGAATGTATTTTCTTTTTGATTCAGTGACAGAATGTGTAAGAGGGTCACCAGAGAAAATTTCAATGTGAGAATACAGATATGCAGGTTGCGAAAAACCTCATGATGAGATGGCAGCCCGATCATTTTGAGAGAGACAAGGAAATCCTTTACCCAAGTTGGAAGAGAAGATCATACACCTCCTAATAAAGTGGGTACATATGTCACTGAAATGTCACAAGGCTGGGGAAGCGGAATGTGGAAAGAGGTATGAGGCAAGATTGTTGCTTCCACGCCCATCCCCACCCTAAATGGATCAGAAGTCATTTGATAAGGCAGATGGGGAAGAGGACTGTGACTACTGCGCACACCTGCAGGGCTGCTGGAGAGCAGTGTCAAACAGGTGGGAAATGCATGATGGATGTACAGCTATCACTGACAACTTTGGCTGACACATCAGCCAGAAGGAAACTGCACAGACAGACTGTGAAAGGGACCACACTCCTGGACACTGAGATTGTATTGTCTGTATTATCAAACTGTTTTAAAAGTCCATTAAACTGTGGAAAAAAAAAAGTTCCTTGCACAGATTTGGCCCATGACAACAACTAATCTCGAAGAATTTGCAGGAAAAGGTCAGAAGGTGGCCACACACAATTATGAACAGGCAAAACATACAAAGCTACTCTATTCTGGACAAGTCAGTTTTCAGTCTGGACACAAGAAGTTCTGTGCCATAGGTTCTCAGTGCAAGAAAAAAAAGTCACTGACTTTTTTATTTAACTTACTATTGTAAATGTAAGCTATGAACTATCTCCTGAAGAAGTCTTAGTTATCTACAACTCTGACTTGCAGAAAAATCCCTTTCCTTTGCAAATCTGATGAGTAGTATGATCCTGATCATTTGAGTAGGACACTTAGGTCAAATATATGAGAAAAATGAGTTCTCTGTAAATACTGTAAGCACTGCTCAATCTTGTCAGATAAATGATTTGCAGCTACAGACATTTTTTTTTGAAAGACAGACATTTCTCTCCCATGCAGCTGTACATTGCAAGGAAGGTAGAGAGGACTCTTCCTGTCAGCTTGTGGGCCTAATGCATGTAATTATGCAACTATGAAGTTCACACAGAGTTCTATGTAAGCAAGTGTATTCCCTTATTAAAAAAAAAAAAAAAAAAAAAAAAAAAAAAAAAAAGAGAAAGACATATAAATTCACAGGCTTGAAGGCTAGAAAAGCATTACAATGATTGAATCATACTTCCCCATCCACCCCTAGCCTAAAAATCTGATTTATTCTAGAAGCTACATAGGATAAAAAAGTATTCCCTAAAAGCTATTCAATCTCACATTAACAGATGTTTCCAAAATAATTTGAGAACACCTGTACCAGGCTATCCAGTTCTTCTGTTCTTCTCCTTTTCCTCCACAGGAGTAATTTGTGAGTTCCTGCAGCAACAACAGGACAGCACAGACTGATAGCTTCCCTGATAGAAGCCCCCAGCTCCATAGCATAGGGAACTTCAGAGGCAGAGACTGCATCTCAGTATTTAATTGATTTTTCTTCTAATGTGTTTAGCACTTAGTTAATTTCTCTCCAATCTTAAAAAAAATAAAAAAAATCACCTCAGTGTCCATCTGGGGGATGTTGTTACATCTTTGTCAGCAAAGTTGGGTGTCTCTGTCCAATCAGAGATCTCTTTCATGCTAAAATATTTTTTCTTTGTTTTCTTTTAAATCAGATTAAGAAATTATGATGAATAAATAGCTCCTCTGAGCTGTAGGGCTTTTAAAACTTTCTGAAGTGTGTGTATTACAATTTTAAAAGTTGTTCTAACAGTGGTATTAACAGTAGTATATACAAAAACAAAATTAGCTACTTCTTACATGTCAAGGTATATTTACACATTCAGGGATAACATTGCTCTTTTCACCAGTTTGATAATTTGAAATGACCCACTAAAGCGATTATTGTTATTACTAGCTGTATGTTACTGGAAATGTCCACTGTGCCAGAAAGAAGGACTATCTGCATCAAATTAACACTTGAGATATAAATACACCTGTAACAGGATTGGAAACCTATATGAATACTAGCATCGGATACACTTTAAAGAATTTAACTAATCAAGAATAACCCACAGCATGTATTTTCTTTCTGTATGATAAATGACATGAAAACTCTTGGGACTGGAAACTGTTCAAATCCAGTATGAAACACAAGCTACTTACCTATAAGCACATAAACCTAAAGTTACGTGAAAGCTACCAACATACCTGAGTAATATTTGAGATAGATATTGACAGAAATAGCTGAGGCTTTTGAAGGATTATTTCTTAATGAAAAAGAGTTTAGGAAACAAAAGTATAATCACAACAAATAGTTGAGGAAAAACCTACCAAGATGGCTGTAATATAAATGTAGAAAGTACATGAATATAAGAAAATTCAGGCTAGACAAAACCAACAAATAGGTATGACTGGACATAAAGCTCTTTGTAACTTTGAGAGAGCTGAACATGGATTTCATACATATAATACTACAGGATTTGCCAATTAACCTGCTTGAAAAGGTTGTCAGAAAACAAAATAAGCCTAAGAACTGATTCTGTCCTGACTAAGAGGAAACATAGCCAACTACTACAAATTATTAAGAGTTCATTTTTAGGGAACATTTCCAACTATGTTATCACTGAAAGGAAGGTTTTATTTTCACTTGTTTTAAACCAAATTATACTTTTTGACACTTGGGTTTTATTACTGTAGGTTTCAACAATAAGCTATTCAAATAAGGACTGTCCTCTTCATACCCCTTCCTCAATGATAAAGGGTTTGTTAGAATTTGAACTTTTTTACTTTTTATTCTTCATGCTATGCAACATGATTTATCTACGCACCTGATCATATATGTCTTATATTTAACAGACCAGACCAAAAAAAACCTGTTTTGAAAAATTAAGTTAACCTAGTTCCAACACCTAGAACTATACACTGACCTACTGTTGAATCAAACTGAAATCTCACACTTCCCTTAGAAGGATCAAAAAACGCAAGCTATCTGACAATTCCAATTCTGTTTCTGAGTGATGGAAAATAAAAATGAAAAACCTGTGAGTACCTTGTAGTTTCATGATATTCTTTTGCATGCACGGCTATGCTTACAAAGTGGTTATTTTGCAAGTCCAGACAATTACATTAATGCTAGAGAATCCTGTGGGAAAATATTTATAAAGCAAATACTGACTTTTGGACTGTTTTTTACAGGAAGATTTGTATCATAATTCTTCAACAGTTCATCACTCTTAAGATAATTCGGTTGTTCATTAGATTTGCACAGGTTACAAACAGCAATGCTCTTTACAACACAATACTTTCTGATGTCTTTCTAGAAGCTTTACTACAGCCTTACAGAAAGTGGTACACCGCAACACCATTCTTCCTTAAAATAAAGTGCACGCCTTATTTGTTTTTATCCTCAAAACACACAAACCAAAAAGAGCTATTTCAACCACAGAAGGAAAAGCATAATATACATGTTACACATCATTCAACAGAAATAGCTTTTTCTATTATTAGTTTTCCATGTCTTTAAAACTGCCACAGACAACCATAGTTTGGCTCTATTGGACTTTCTTCTGATACTTAGCCTGGGTGGATAAATGAAATTCAGAGCTAGAAAAACTATTACTGCTGAAAGTTCTAATTCACCTGATTTACATGAAAAGAAAAGTTTAAATAATTGCACTGTAGATTTCATATTTCCATAGTATATAATTTTCTAAACTGCAAATGCAGTCAGAAGATTAAAAATAAACTCAATTCTGAAACAATTTTTTTAATGCTGTCATTTGTGTTCATCAATTTTGTCAATGTAACATTAGAATAGCAGTTGCAAATTTACCGTAATTAGTAGTATGAGCAGTGTACTTAGGACAGATGTACAAAGCTGATTTTGAGATTACGATTTAATAAAACATTCTCAATGTAACTTCCACCCCTAGATTTTCTAAAAATCTTTTCAATTAAGTTCATGAAAAATACATCAACAAAGAGGTTTCTTCAACACTATGTTTATGTGTCATGTAACCATATAGCAGAGCTATTGCAAAAGATATTAATTACATAAAAATAAGAGGACTTCATAGAAGAGTTGGTAAAGAAAAGTAGTTCTAAAGACAAGATGAAGACTCCAAGACAGTTCTCAGCTTGAGACATACCCTGGGCCATGACACACTGTTTCAAATCACTGATAAAAAGTCATCATACCGAAAATCAGAGGACTAGCTTTAAAATCTTGTTATTTTGAGGAAAATTAATACATTCAGGCTTTTTAGTCATCTTCTGCTTTCTAAGACTATCTGTATTTATGTACACTTTTAGCACATTTCATAGTTTATTCTACAGGCATCCAGACAAAAAACTTCCTTTTCCAATGTAAGCCATGATCCTCATACAGAAACATGACCTTACCAGCTACAGCAACGAGAAGAGAATAAAGTAAAGGAAAGTACAGAATAACAAGGGCTAAGAACTGTTAGATCACAATCCAGTTAAGCATCCAGGACAGACACCTACAGAAACTTAGAACAATGTTAGCATTCTGCTAATATTAAAAAAAAAAAAAAAAACAGCATCAATACTGCTGACTGGTTCAGATATGACACTTATCACAGAGCAATCTTTGATCCTAGGAAAGTACTATTAAGTAGATTAAAATTAGGTAGCACAAAAATACAGATAACAACATGTCAGCTGATAGCAAGGAATTAACATCATTCGAAACTCTGGAAAAGACACAGTACTTCCGTTCTCTGCATTCTTCTTCTATTCAGAACCTTTCTGTGGACCATACATGACTACAAAGCAAGACAGTATCAGCTCAACCACAATATCACAAAGGCAAATGAATACTGTACAAAGTCATCAGACTATTTTAGTTGACAATGTAGACTCTAGAATTACTCTAGACACAGCTTTATAAGGAGACTCTAGTACCACAGAAGCAGCCAGGCACTTGTGGTTCCAAAGCCTGTCCCTTGGAGGCCTTGGATTAGCGATACCATTTCGCTCTCTGCTCTGCCTCGATTTTTCCATCATTAGCAGTTATCTCTTCCTTTTTTCATTCTGTACCCAGCATGTACAGGCTTGGTGCTCTAAGTCATTCCTCCCGCCTCCTTTTATTACCTTTTGTGATCCTCAGTGAACATAAACTCCAGCAGAGTTCGTTCCCCACAGCTTTAAGATTACCAGAGATTGATGGATGGTTCAAGCTATTATCAGCTAGCCTATACAAATAGGCCTATCCTACTATAAACATAATTTTAAGGGCTATCCACATGGCAGTCATAGCAGCATCAATAGGATCAGCCTAGGATAGCTACTCAAAGATCCACCTTGCTTCTTCCCATTTTTACGCCCTTCACCAACTTCTGTGCTTCTGCATCTAACATCAGCACCCAAGGTAGATAAAGAAACCTGATCGAGTCTTCAGCATATTGGACTCACTTTACTGATAGCAGTACAGATGGTATAAGCTATCATACAGGAGTTCCAGGCCTTCTGGCAGTCATAGCCCAATCTTAGATTAATCCATCCTTCCTCTTCAGAACATGCTAATTCTATTTTAAATTAGGCTTTAGGTCCCCTTCAACACTGAGACTCCTCAACCAGGCATCTTTCAACAAAATCATTAAAAACCCCTTTATCTGGATAAACCATATGAAGATTTCAAAATTGTAGAAATCTGAAAATCAATTGTGACAGTAAGGCAAAGCTTGAGACTTTGAACTCACAAAAATAAGCAGTTTAAATCTAGCAAAACTACAAGGAGTGTTTCAAAACTTTTCTGTGGCGTACCTAATTTTCTTTCCATGGGATAGCTCCTGATCCACAGTAAAAAATTTTATACTAGTGCATCAGAACCATAGAGCTACCTACCTGAATGACAATCGTGACTTCATTGCCACTCCGAGACAATTGAGAGATTCAGCATTTGCACGATCACCAAAATGTAGGTAATACAGAACTTGCTGTATTCCGTTCCTCAAAAGTGATGCCACAGTTTTATGGCACCCTCCGTACTGAGACAAAATGTAGATGGAGTTACACAGATGTGATTAGCTAAAGCTGGCCTAGAGAACAGGACAGAACTTTCTGCATATCTACTCCAAGTACACTGCTAATAATTTTTCTATCAGTGTATTCGGGAAAAGGCTGGCAACTAACACACAAAGCCTTTGTTCAAAGGACATTCATTCAGAGCAGCTCAAGCAGCTTGTAGGGCAATGATTTTTGGAGCGTGCTAATGCAACAAAGTCTTGGGGAAGACCAGCAAAATTAATTACATAAGCGTGGTTGTGGGCATCCTGCCACACAGCAGAAAATATTATGCTAAACCATTTAGAGGAAGCCACTAGTCTAGACCTTTGGCAGGAAGGAAACACAGCTAGCAGCTATGATTACTAACCAAGTTTTAGTTCTGTTGTACGGAAATGAGATAAATTACAGCAATAACAGCAAACATAAGTTTTGCTGTGGATATGTCCTTTCTTCCTTTCCTAACTTTCTGAACATTGTAAATTATTCGTTTACAAGTCTCAGAAGATCACATACGTCTTCATACACAAAACATCCGCTTTATCTGCCGTCACTCACATCGTACATAGTTTTGATAAAAGGCTTGGTACTTGAGGTAGGTTATAAAGGTTCTAAGTTTCATTAGGATCAGAGGCAACACCTGGTACAAAAATAAGAACGTAAGAATTGCAGCATGGGTCGGACCAAAGATTCCACTACCCCAGTACCCTGCCTTCACGATGATCTAAGAGAATGCCCAAGAAAGAATAACACCAGTGTAAGCATAAAACGGCAATTACCCCAACACTCTCCCAACTATTTTCAGCTCAGATTTTTTGAAACAGATGTGCTTCCAGGTATTTAGTAACTCTCAATGGATTTTTCCTCTGTGAACTTGCCTAGCCAACCTTTCAATCTATGCATTTGTCCAGCTTCCATAAAGTGACTTGCCAAGGAATTTCAACATCATCTTACTCTTGCTTAAAGGGCAACTCTCCTTCTCCTTGTTTTGAGCTTTTCTTCTGCTAAGTTTACTGGGCAGCTTCTAGTTCTTGCACTGAAAGATGCAATGAATGACTGTTCCTTACTGATGTCCTCCACACCATCTGTAACTTTGGAGATCAAATTTGATCCCAAATTTGATTTTACTGAAATTTGACTCCTCCAAGTAAGAGTGTCCTCAACTTAGTCATTCCTTGTAAAGAAAGTCCTGTATGCTTTGATCATCCTTGCTTGTCTTTTCCAATTCTCCTAAAACCTTTTGAAATAAGAAGGCCAGAATGACACAAACTATTCAAGACATAGGCATATGCTCAGTTTACTCAATGGCATAATAAGGTTCTTTTTTCTTTTCCCCAAAATTGTTAATACTTAATTTGCTGAATTAACAATCTATATTTTACATATAGTCCAAATTTTTTCAGTAAAATCATAATATTATCAAATAACAGAATCAAAAGAGGAAAAGAAAAGCAGTGATTTTTTTTTCTGTTAGTTCTGGTTTATAGTTTTACAAAATTTATGAGAAAATTACTGAAACACTAAGCATGTACTGTTACAACTTATTTTCCTGAACACGATGAGAACAATATGCCCTATGTTTGGGCCCAATTAAACAATCACAAAGTATTTGGGTAATCACAGAGTTGTACTTACACAGAGAGCTACATTTCAGTAGCTTAACGTGGTAATTAAAAGCTTCTTCAGTCAATAGAATAAAGACAATTTCTTGACTTCTTTTTAAGGTCAAAAAGAAAGACAATCACTCCATTCAAATGATTTGCAACCTTGACTTGTCATAGTTTTCATCCAGGCTGACAGTCGAACACCACATCAACTGCTCAACCTCCCCTCTCACCATCCCCAGGGTTGGGGGAGAGAATTAAAAGGGTAAAGGGA